GAATAGTTGTGGGCTTGCATGGAGCTACCCAGGTGAGGAAAGTTAGCCTGTGTTCACAGGACCAAGGCTGTGCTCATGTGTGCAGTGTTGTATGTTGGAGGGATAGATTTATTCTTCCTGGTCACTGCAGATTTTTCTTACTCTTCAGAATTATTACCTGGGTCTTAAAAACAGTTAAAGGCATAGCACATTAACATATATCTGCATTTTTAATATCCAGTCAGAAATACTGATTTACTTCCAAGAGCAGCAAAAACCATCAGTAGTGTCTTCAGCAAATAATTTGAGAATATTCAATAAGATGTCACTCTTAATTTGCATTGTTTTCTTGAGTATCAGGGGGTCAAAATGAATGTATGGAAAAGATCAATGAAAATGTAAGGATCAAATTAGAGGAGGGCTGTTGACTATAAAAAGTTTTAAAATGATGTACTCAATTATCCGTGTAATTTATACAAGTGCACTGTAAGTGTCATTTTCATGTCTAGCCACTTTCATTATCTAGCTCCTACTTAAACTTGAGCATAATTAGTCCTTGTCTTACTGTTATTTTCTGCACATCATATTCTGGTTATATGGTGCAACCTCTGTGGAGTGATTTGCCCAGCAAGCTTGTTGTTGAGAGCTGAAGAGATAGCTCAGAAGTTACAAATTTCAATCCTATATATCTGCTGCATTTGTAAAACTTTCATGCTTTTAAAATGTAAAGGAGGTGGCAAAGGATTCACATGTCTTTAATGTGGAATGGAACAGCTGATTGTCTGGTACTGTGAATACTGTTTTATACAAGTTTTCTCCAACAGGGAAGAGTAAATTATAGGAAAATGGGATCTTCTTATGTTAGAGTTATTGTGTTCCTTACTATTTTAGCAATTCACCAGATGCAGTGTAAAGAGCAAAAAGCCCACTGAATTTAGTAGAGATTGCTAACTTAATTTATCAAAGCGATGATGCACTGGGGTGAGTGACAGAGGATTAACTGGGGAACTCTTTTTTTATCAGTCAGGTTGCATTATTAAAATGAGTTTAGTAATCTTTACTCTGAGCGCTATACATTTTGAGAAATCTGATTAGTTTTCTGTATGAGCAGGAGCAATCAAGGGCGTTCTTAGATGCATTTCTGGAGCAAGTTTCATAACTGGATATGCCTATATTAGCAAATATTCCTGACTCTGTAGTTTTAAATTTTTACAAGAGTATGTTTTTATTCTTGAATCTAAAGTGTTTTGGAACTGAGGCTATCTGAATGGAATGTTAGGAGTACATTTCATTTCTACTGTATGTTGCAAGTAACAGATAGTAATTCTTATGTGATAGAGGCTATATCCATTCTAGCGTGTGATATAATTGCATGATGTTACTCTGTGTATTATATAGCCGGGCTTGTCACAGAGCACATCCTTGTTTGGGTCCATTAACGGTTACACTGTTGAATTGCCTCCTGACTGGATGATAGTGGGGTATGGAGTAGCTATGTATTTTTTATTTTATTGTCCTTTTTGAGTTCTCGAACTACTCAAGATACACTTTGTGTTGATCATATAGCTAAGGAATATGACTTTTTATTTTCCTTGCTGGACTATTTTGTTGTTTGTTGGTCTTGGGGGTTTTTGGGTTTGGGGTTTGTGGGGTGTTTTTAGCAGTCCATGGTGTTGTTTGTTGAGGTCAAGACTAGAGCGCTGTGGTTTCTTGTGCTTATGTTCACTCATACATGCATGTATTGGACTGTAATGGCTAAACACTTTCTGTGCAGAAGCTTTGCACGAGCAATGTGCTTGCTTAAGAGTAATTAAAGAAATTTTTAGTTTTGATTTCAAAGTGTTCACATATTCTCAGATATTTCTAAATGGGTCAAAGCATTTGGTCTATATTAATGTGTGTTGATGCTTGGCACAGACAGTTGCGTCTGCATTCTCTGTTGCATCTGAAGTTTTATGAGCAGTATCTTCATCCAGTTAGCAAAACAGAAACCCACAGGTACAACTTCTCCTGGCTGACATGGGAGCAGAGCCATCAGGTGGGAAAGAGCTGACCTGCAAAAGCTCATCAGCCTTTTAAGTGAGCTGGAGTATTTTAAAAGCTCATTGAGCATGGTCATTGAAATCCTTTTACTCAGGTGAAGTGTGTGTAGGATTAGTGAATTGAATGTTAGCAGACTGAAATTTGGCAACGTGGGCTGGATGCATGAAATCCTTAATAATGTGCATAAAAGAAAGAGTCTCTTCTGGGGATTTGAAACTAACTTTGCATGTTAATGAAGTACCTGGTTTTATAGAGGTTGTGTACACCAGAATTTAAGAGCTTCCTTTCTGGCTTATACAACATTTTCCAAAGACTTTCATGTTTGTATGTCTTCTGCATTTTGTAGGTGCTAAGTCATTTGTTTTGTGAAAAAAGACCCCTTTGGAAAATATTTCTCAGTATGAATATAATGTTTTTTATCTGCTGCTGGTGCACAATGTTTCATCTTGTTTCATAGTCAGAATGTTTGCCCCTTCCTAGATCACTGTTAAAACTGGACAGTGAACTACCAAAACACAGAATTGCCAGAATGAACCTGAATGAATTGGTAATAAAACTTTCTGAGCAAGAGACAAAGAATTGTGTAGCTTGGTGAGTGTGTGATGACATGAGCTCTTCAAAACTGGTGCAGAATTCAGATGACAGTCCTTACGCATTGCTCATTTGCAGCGGGTGCGAGATGGTCCATTGTTTGTGACGTGATATAAATTTTCATCTATGTAGTGTACAGTAAATTCCTTGGGTGGAATGGATTTATATTTAGATGAAGTACATCCCATTCCTGGGAGCACTTCGATGGTAGCTCCTCGCCTTCTCAATCTGATATATACATGTGTCTTTCTATATATGTGTTTGTGTATAACTAACAAAATTCAGCAGGTGAATTGCCTCGAAACCGCTTTAAAATGGAACTGCTCCTTGTTCTCAGTATGGTATATACATGTGTGTATTACATATAAATGCATGTGAGCGTATGTACTAGACTGCCTTAAAACCCACATAAAGAAAGAGAGATGCAGAGAAATAAACAGGTTTCAAGGGCCGAAGACGTTGCCAGAGATGAGATTGTCTCTCTTGGCTCCATCCCTTTAACACTAAGGTCATCTTTTCTCTCTTTTATGAAATCCTAGTTAGAGAAGTGTTACTGTTAATTTGATTACAAGATCATTTTAAAGGATTTTTTTCTGTCCCCACTACCCAGCCACCCCTTTTTAGTGGTGAACCTGTAGTGTTGGCTTCATGCTCTGAAGGGAGTTTTTCAGTGTCTGTTTCATGAAATACCTTTGTTTGAAACAGCAGTAAACTGTCGTCATCCTTGCAATTTATTTAAGACTGGTGTGTAAGACAAAGAAACACATGTGTCAGCTAGAGGAAATGCCGTGGGGGGGTGGAGAACACATTATTGCTGACTTAACACAATAAAGATGCCTTTGGAAGTGTTTTCTAAAAGTAATACTCGCCCCCATTCAGCACACGTCTCTGTGTGTCGTAGCTATCCTGGTAGAAAGGAGTAAAGAGGACGCGTCAAACTTATGCCAGCCCGTGTCTTCCTAGCGATACGAGAGCTGACGTCTTTCACAAGTTGTGGGAAGTGTTGTGAAAATACGGTAGCTGAAGAGACCCACCGCCTGCTGTGAAATATTCGGCGAGTGCTCCTTTGCCAAGATTGAACAGCGCTCCGGCTCCCAGGGCGCGGTGGAAAGCGGTGGCAGCTGCCTGGCCAGCAGGGCTCCAGCCTTTGCTGGACCAACCGAGCTGGGTCAACAAGAGCTGACTTCACGCACACGTTTGTATCAATAGCAGTTTGAAATGCCTGCCGTCACAGCGTATCTTCGATTTTAGAAATGCCAGCTTATACAGCAATACTAAGATTTATTAGGTTTTTATGGAACACAAATGCACTGAAGAGATTTAAAACAGGGTGACTTATACACGTAAGCCAGACAAGACGTGTCGTGTTGTGAGGGTGAACAGATTTCTGTCCAAAGGGCCCTTCCTGGCACTTGGCCAGGAAGTTCAAGGCAGAGTGAGATAATCAGCAGATTTGATTGTTACAAAAATAAAATGTGTTTTGACATGGTTTTACTTCCTTGCCCCTTGGTTACACGACACATACTCTGTGATTGGATAGAAACTTGCAGGAGTAACTTCTCTGAACTCTGAGTCCTCTACAGGGAGTCACTTGCCCGTGGAGCAGAAGGTAGCTTGTGGTGGGTGCAGAAGAGTGCGAAATGCGATAACCCAGGATATCTTCTCAGTTTCATTAGAAGTGTCCTTACAGAGTCGCTATCTTGCGTATGTTTTTAGACAGAGGGGAAATTTCAAAGACAGGCAGAAGTATACCATTAAAATCCTGGTGAGTTTAGCTTCTGTGCTGAGACAGCCCTCCTTCAGATGGGAGCTGTGGAGAGCACTGTGCTCAGCGAGGTGCGTAGTCGGAGTGTAGCAGTTTGTTGTGAGTAGTTTCAGAAGCAGCCAGGATT